TCAGGTGATGTGCCTGCCTCAGTCTCCCAAAGTGCTAGGATTATAGGTGTGAGCCACCATGCCTGGCCTCCATCTCCATTTTCAACACATATGTTCTCCCAAACAGAAAAGAACTTTTGTATAGAGGATGGAGTATGAAACTGTTCTAAAATGTGCAGACACATATTTTTAAATACAATTTATGTTAATAAAGGAGCAACTGACTCTTGCCAAATTTTTCTTGAGTCTTGGCAACAATTTTAAATCATTTCTCAAATTCTAAATTTACTTCGGCATGACCAAACACCTACCATTGCTTTAAAAAAAAAAAAAAAAGCTAAACAAAAAGGTGCTACTTTTGAAGCAACATCAAAGAAAAGAAAAAATATAAATTTGGGCAGTGACATACGTCTAGACATCATTATACGCTTAAAGAAAACAACAAAAACAGTGCTAAAAGAAACCAATCAATCCTCATACTTCATCTTCAAAATCATGCCAGAAATACTTCCCTCCCGGTGTAAGAGCTGGCAGAACATGGAAGGGTAGGAAAGGCGTGGCCCAGACGCTTAGGCTCTGAACTCAGGCCTGGGGGCCTGATAAGGATGCCTTTTATTTTTCTGTAAACCCCTACCTCCAGGTACAAATGACTAATCAAAAGTGTAACCACAGGCCTGGCACAGTGGCTCAGGTCTGTAATCCCAGCACTTTGGGAGGCCGAGGCGGGTGGATTACCAGAGATCAGGAGTTCGAGACCAGCCTGGCCAACATGGTGAAACCCCCCCCCCCCAATCTTTACTAAAAATACAAAAAGTTAGTTGGACGTGGTGGCAAGCAACTGTAATCCCAGCTACTTGGGAGGCTGAGGCAGGAGAATTGCTTGAACCAAGGAGGCGGAGGTTGCAGTGAGCCGAGATCATGCCATTGCACTCTAGCCTGGGCAACAAGAGTGAAACTTTGTCTCAAACAAAACAAACAAACCCGAAGTGTAACCATATGTAGAAAAAAAATCACTTGGCTGTCTCTCTGGGTCCTATCTTAATAGAAAAATACGGTTAGTGTGCCCTGGGGATTTGGTCATTTATTTGGAAAATACTCCTGATATATTATGATAATTCACAAATCTTCACCACCAAAATCTCATGTTGTAACGACTTCACGTAGTAGAAAAGGTATGCATGATTCCTATTTCACAGGTGAAAACACCAAGAATCAGAAATGAAATTATTTGCCCCATTTCACAGCTAGCAAGTGATGGAATAAGACTGCAAACCTAGGACTTCTAGTCTAGTGATTGTCCCAGGAGGCCACATCACATGGAATATTACACAGGAACATTTTCGGTAACCTCTGAAAGGCCTAAATGGAGCTCCTTCCAGTCTGGGCCCTGACATACACTGAATGGAGTAAGGGAATGGTTAAGAAAGTATGATTCACAAACATCCATCTCAGATGTCTGATCATGTTGTAACAAAATAGTTCCATCATTAAGGGTGAGCCGAGGAGAGAACATATTCCCGGATTTATGTATTAATAGCATTGAATCTTCTCAAGAATTTAATAAATGAGACAACTAGAGTTCAAGGGTAGTGACTTCCTGAGCAAAGGGAACTTAGTGAGTTTCCTCTCGCAACCCCCGAGCTGATTTCATCATTCCCGCCCTCATTTCAACCATAGTATGGTAAGTTAGGTGGTGGCACTGTTACAGTACCTGGCCTTTGGGAGCTTGCAAGCCATTTTTCTGGGAGATCTCTGACAAACAGTTTGGCTAGGAAATGAGCTCCTTTCTTCTTCATAGGCAAAGGTGATCTCCTGCTTTATGCTGAGGCCAGCAGGGTCTCATTAAGAGTTATGTCACAGTAGGGTTTGGAGAGAACCCTGTAAGTTCAGGCCTGAGCTGCTGCCTCACTAGGGCCTTTTACTTCCCTAGAGGACTATTGGAGGATGAGCAAAACCTCACTGGCATAGCACCTGGCCCCTCTGTGCTCCCATCCCCCATGTTTCCCACAGGTGTTAGTGCAGTCAACACCCTGATCTTCCTAACTCACGTCTGTAGGAACCCACTCCCTCCAAATAGCAAGCAAGCCCACGAGCAAAGCAGTAACAGAATCCAGCTCACTCCCCAGTGTCTCCTTTAACTCACTTAGGACACATCAGAAGCATACAAGTGGATCACTTCACTAGAAATTTTGTTAGTCATCAAAATCATAGACATCAGTTTGATTATGGAGAATTAGAGAATCTTTATAGCTAGATGAGGAAACCCAGTAACAAACTGCTGTTGAAGACTCTTTTAAAGTAAACATCTGCAGGCTGTAGACATTTCTGTATCTTTGTACCTGCAAGTGCCATCTTCAGGGGTTTACTACATGAAATCATCATTTCAGTAACTTGATATGCATAGTAATAAAAGTAATTCGGTCTGTTAATTTCTGATTGAAAATAAAGGTAGAGCTTCTGGCCAGATGCGGTGGCTCACATCTGTAATTCCAGCACTTTGGGAGGCTGAGCCGGGTGGATTACCTGAGGTGAGGAGTTCGAGACCAGCCTGGTCAACATAGTGAAACCCTATCTCTACTAAAAATACAAAAAATTAGTTGGATGTGGTGTCAGGCAACTGCAATCCCAGCTACTTGGGAGGCTGAGGCAGAATTGCTTGAACCCGAGAGGTAGAGGTTGCAGTGGGCTGAGATTACGCCACTGCCCTCCAGCCTGGGCAAAATAGCAAAACTAAGTCTCAAAAAAAAGAAAGAAAAGAAAGATGGGGCTTCTAAAAAAATGTACTACTACCAACTGACAGAATAAAGCAGAACTCAAAATCTTGAATCAGTCGGGGTAATGACTTCTGCCTTCAACTGAGCCATTTAATTGGAAACATGCCAAACTATGATGACCAACGAGAAGAACCCCCAAAGCTACCGTCCATCACTAGTGGAAGCCACGCCACAGCTAAGATCTGCTGTGCTGAACTTATGCAGGCTCCCTGTCAAGCTAATGCATAAACTGAACTCAAGACAGACAAAAGCCACACTCAACGGAAGTGCTGCCACATTAAGGTCACCATGAGGCTCAGCTTGGAAAACAGTTTCAAAACCTTGTAATCTGCCGGATGTGATGGCTCACGCCTATAATCCCAGCACCTTGGGAGGCCGAGGCAGGTGGATCACGAAGTCAAGAGATCGAGACCATCCTGGTCAACATGGTGAAACCCCATCTCTACTAAAAATACAAAAATCAGCTGGGCATGGTGGTGCATGCCTGTAATCCCAACTACTCGGGAGGCTGAGGCAGGAGAATTGCCTGAACCCAGGAGGCGGAGGTTGCGGTGAGCCGAGATCGCGCCATTGCACTCCAGCCTGGGTAACAAGAGCGAAACTCCGTCTCAAAACAAACAAACAACTTGTAATCTGCTGGAAAGCAGTCTAGGGTGGGAGTTGGGAAGGTGTCAGACTGATCCCCAGTGATGATGGGCTGCAGGGCTTGACTTGTAGAATCTGGGAACACAGTAGCACTGGCGTCACACTTCCTCACACCATCAGAGCTCAGACTGTGGCATCCTTTTATGTACCCGCAGTAACCACCAACATTACTTTCTCAGATGACAGCTACTAAGGGCCATATATGTTGTTCTGGTAGGAGACAGCTTGTTAATCTGCAATGGCAGAATTCTTCCCTCCCACCAGAGACCCAGAGTTGGCTCCTGGCCAAGACCACTCTGAAGGAGGCAGGGTAGCCTGTGAAAGAGGCTCTAGCGTGAAAATTAGAAAACATGGATCCTGGCCAGGCACGGTGGCTCACGCCTCTAATCTCAGCAGTTTGGGAGGCTGAGGTGGGTGGATCACAAGGTCAGAAGTTCAAGATCAGTCTGGCCAACATGGTAAAACCCCATCTCTACTAAAAATACAAAAATTAGCTGGGTATGGTGGTGTGTGCCTATAGTCCTAGCTGAGGCAGAATTTCTTGAACCCGGGAGGCGGAGGTTGCAGTGAGCGGAGATTGTGCCACTGCACTCCAACTTCGGTGACAGAGTGAGACTCTGTCTCAAAAACAAAACCAAAACCAAACAAACACATAAATCCTACTCCGGTCTGCCTCTGACCAAGTGCATTAAGCTGGGTGAGAAATTCTCCATCTGGGTTCAGCTTCCTTATCTATAAAATGATGGGATCAGCCTATATCACCATGGTCCCTTCAACTTCAAATCATCAGTGTTTCATGGATTCCACGAAATTAGCTAATATGGCCCTCCTGCTGGAAAGATGAAGTATGGAGTTGCCTAACAGATTGCTCAAAACAAAAGTAAAGAATGAAAAGAAAAGAAATGAGAGCAGGAGAGTCACTTCAACTTGAAACCCACTTTGGTAATAAGAATAGCGAAGTAATGAGTTCAGACAGTTTGAGAGGAACAGAAAAGTACAAACTGAAAAACAGGAAATCCATTCTTGGCTGGCTGTCAAAAGCCATGCACTGGTGAACATTTAGGTTCATTTTAATTTTTAATTTCTTAAAAGTAATAAAGCCCTCAAATTAGCGTATCAAGATGCCTGCTACTGAAACACAAAATTATTGTCTCCTGCCCCTGGCTTTTTAACCACTTTTGACTTCTTTAGTCCTGTGTCTGAGGCTGTGATGGTTCCATCTCAGCAGCATTTGCTGCCTTGTTCCATGGCTAGGAGATATCCTTGACCTACTCACCATGTTACCACTTTCAAGGACAAAGTTCAAACACAGCCTTATATACCGCTCTATGTATAGTAATCACCTCTCTGCAAACAGCTTGTGAACTGGCAGGGACTCCAGTGTACACACGTTTGATCTCTCCAGTGCCCTGGCTACAGTAGGCACTTCAATGGTTACTGAATGCTTAAAAAAAGCACTTACCAGTCTTTTCAGGCATCTCAAACTACATGGTAGGGTTTATATATCCAACCTATGTTTAGACTACAAAATTATTTTTTTAAAGGCATTATGTAGCAATAGAAAAGTTTATAAAAATGAACTTTACAAACACTGAACTCAGATTTCCATAGAGAGGAAAAAAGATTTATTCCAAAAGATGGCAGAAATAAGAATTTCATCCTGAAAAGAGAGTCTGGTGTGATTCTGTCGAGATGGCTCTTCCCTCTGAACGTGCTCTCCTACTGACCCCCCCACTGGAGGCTTGTTTGTCTTGCAGCAGTTTCTAAACACTTCACTGATTCCCATGTGAGAGGGCCGGAGCCATCTTCAAATCCACAGATTCCAAGGAGAGAGTAACGGATCTCTCAGAAGAACAGCATCTTCTATCTCAGAAGAGTGCATACTCATTTTGTGGAGTCAACACAGTTTATAAAGTAGGCACATAATTCACCAAAGTGTAAAAAAAGGCGAAGGAGAACACACTGGATTGCAGAGTAAGGCATTCGAATGTGGTGTTAACGTTTAAGGCAGCTGATGGCCAAAGTAGGCAAGTCAAGGAAGGTGGTCTGGTGTGGAGGTGACTTTGCATCTAGAAGGCACTCTCTTCCTGTGACCTGCAAAACAAAACCGTTCTGGTAACTGATCCTCACACATTCAATCCTCAGGAAGGCAAAAAGTTAACATCAAGAAAGTTAACCAGGCCAATATTTAAACATGTGTAGATGCTGAACAATAAACGAAAGACAGGATAATCACTCTGGTGCAAGTCTGGCCAGCTTTTGTAGGGCTGTGGCAAAAGCGCCAGTAATCAAGGACACTGGCGAACTGAGGAACACAAGTAACAGTCTATGTCACAGAAAGCAGGAAGAGTGAGGCTGACTGAGATGGATGGTGCTGGACTCTAATGAATTCATCACAGTTTCGAGTCTGTATTTTTCGCTTCCCTCTGACAGCACGGAAGCCAGGTTCCCAAAGGCACGGCGAGCTCTGCTCTGGAGCCAGGCTCCTGGGGAGGAGGCTCCTTGCACTGGCCTTGTACTTGAGGCTGTCTTCTAGCTTGCTCCCCATTCTGGCTATCTCAAGTGTAGGCAACAAATGACACTTTTCTTTTTCTAGTAGCTTAAACTCAATGCCATCTTTTATTTATTTATTTTTTGACACAGGGTCTCGCTGTCACCCAGGCTGGAGTGCAGTGGCGTGATCTCGGCTCACTGCAGCCTCAACCTCCGAAGCCCAAATGATCCTCCCACCTCAGCCTCCCAAGTAGCTGGAAATGCAGGCGCACACCAACACACGTGGTTAATTTTTTTTTTTTTTTTTTTGAGACGGAGTTTCGCTCTTGTTACCCAGGCTGGAGTGCAATGGCGCGGTCTCGGCTCACTGCAACCTCCGCCTCCTGGGCTCAGGCAATTCTCCTGCCTCAGCCTCCTGAGTAGCTGGGATTACAGGCACGCGCCACCACGCCCAGCTAGTTTTTTGTATTTTTAGTAGAGACGGGGTTTCACCATGTTGACCAGGATGGTCTCGATCTCTCGACCTCGTGATCCACCCGCCTCGGCCTCCCAAAGTGCTGGGATTACAGGCTTGAGCCACCGCGCCCGGCCCTATTTTTATATTTTTTGTAGAGATGGGGTTTCATCATGTTGCCAAGGTTGGGTTCCAACTCCTGGGCTAAAGCGTTCTGCTCATCCTGGCCTCCCAAAGTGCTGGGATTACAGGCATGAGCTATCGTGCCCTCATCAGATTATATTTACAATGTACTAGAAAAACAACACCAGGCCAAGGAGTGGCAATTACCAGAGCTACTTGTTTCTTGTAGTTTGAAAGCCTCATAAAATCTTTCACTTAATCTAGCGGTAATTTTCTGCTCTCTTCCTTAGGCCAGCAGAACAGCCGCTTTGTACAAATATCAGTACCAGGCAGATTACAAATGCATGGTGGCTCACTCCTGTAATCTCAGCACTTTGGGAGGCCAAGGCGGGAGGATCGCCTGAGGCCAGTCTGGGCAACATAATGAGACTCTCTACAGTATGATGACACACACCAGCAGTCCCAGCTACTCCAGAGGCTGAGGTGACAGGATCACTACAGCCCAGGAGTTTCAGGTTACAGTGAGCTATGATTATGCCATTCTGCACTCCAGCCTTGGTGACAGAGCCTGACCCTATCTCTAATCATTAAATAATATTTTTTTCTTTTCTTTTTTTAAAAATTCAGTCTCCATAGAGACTGTCAAAAATTGCCAATTCCGACTACATTGCAAGTCGTCACGGTGGGGTATTGGGAAAAGCTTTTCAATTAACAATAATCGTGCCCTGGATAAACCTCATTGGCTACAATACTGCCACTGTGCAAAGCTAATAATACTTTTTTCAGACAGTCTTGTTCCCTCACCCAACCTGGAGTACAGTGGCCACAAACACAGCTCACTGCAACCTTGACCTTCTGGCTTCAAGCAATCTTCCTGCGTCAGCCTCCCAAGTAGCTGGGACTAGAGGCCCACTCCATCATGCCCAGCTAATTTTTATTTTTTTTTTTGTAGAAATGGGGTCTCCCTATATTGCCCAGGCTAGTCTCCAACTCCTTGGCTCAAGTTTCCTCTTGCCTTGGCTTCCCAAAGCTCTGGGATTACAGGTATGAGCCACCACACCTGGCCAATAAAATAAATTTTACCTGAGAATACTGAAGTAGTGAATATGTATGGTTTGTCTGTTAATTTTCCATGAAGAGCACACTGATTAGACTTCTTCATAGTATAGGTATTTTTTTGACAAAGAAACAATCCAAAAAAAAGAAAAATAGGCCTTCACTTTTGAAAAACTATATACAATTGAGGGATAGTTTTCAATCAAGATCAATGATGCCAGTTTAAAATAAATGTAGGCCGGGCACGGTGGCTCATGTCTGTAATCCCAGCACTTTGGGAGGCCGACGAGGGCAGATCACTTGAGGTCAGGATGTTAAGACCACCCTGGCCAGCCTGGTGAAACCCCATCTCTACTAAAAATACAAAAAAAGTAGCTGGGCGTGGTGGCACATGCTTGTAGTCTCAGCTTCTGCAGTGGCTCATGCCTGTAATCCCAGCACCTTGGGAGGCAGAGGCAGGAGAATGGCTTGAAAGCTTAGAGGTGGAGGTTGCAGTGAGCAGAGACTGCACCACTGCACTCCAGCCTGGGCGACAGAGCAAGATTCCATCTCAATAAATAAATAAATAAAATGCAAATGTGCATATGCTACATGGAAAATTCATGTGGTTTGATTTTGGAGTACATTTTTATTTATTTATTTATTCTTGAGATAGGGTCTCACTGTCACTCCGGCTGGAGTAAATGTAGTGGCACCATCACGGCTCACTGCAACTGCCACCTCCAGGGCTCAAGATCCTCCCATCTCAGCCTCCCAAGCAGCTGGGACTACAGGTGTGTGCCAACACACCTGGCTAATTTTTGTATTGTTTTTTGTAGAGATGGGGTTTCACCACGTTACACAGACTGGTCTCAAAATCCTGGGCTTGAACAATCTGCCCATCTTGGCCTCCCAAAGTGCTGGGATTACAGGTGTGAGCCATTGTGTCTGGCTGATTTTGGAGTGAATTAAGGAAGCCTATATTCTTATCATCTTTGATATGAAATAGCTGATTGTGGGTGGGGCTGGAGAATGCAATCAAAGGGTCCACGTTCTCATTTTGCAAAATAAAGGAGTCATTAAGGTTACTATCAGATAAAACTGACAGAGGGTCAGATTTGGTGGCTGTAATCCGGCATTTTGGGAAGCCGAGGTGGGTGGATCACTTGAGGTCAGGAGTTTGAGACCAGCCTGGCCAATATGGTATACCCCATCTCTACTAATACAAAAATTAGCCAGGCGTGGTGGTCCATGCCTGTAATCCCAGCTACTAGGGAGGCTGAAGCAGGAGAATCAATTGAACCCGGGAGGCCAATATTGCAGTGAGACAAGATCGAACCACTGCACTCCAGCCAGTAGTGTGATCTTGTCTCACTGTAACACTGGCCTCATTGCACCGCTCAACTCCAGCCTGGGTGACAGAGTGAGATTCCATCTCAAACAAACACCTGCCAATGGGTCAGACACAGTAGCTCCCGCCTGTTATGCCAGCACTTTGGGAGGCGGGGCAGATCACTTGAGATCAGCCTGGCCAACATGGTAAAACTCTGTCTCTACTAAAAATACAAAAGTTAGCTGGGTATGGTGGCACCTTCCTATAATCCCAGATATTCGGGAGGCTGAGGCACGAGAATTGCTTAAACCCAGGAAGTAGAGGTTGCAGTGAGCCAAGATCATGCCACTGTACTCTAGCCTGGGCAACAGAGTGAGACTGTCTCAAAAAAAAAAAAAAAAAAAAAAAAAGATAAAACTGACAATTAAGATAACATAAAAATATTAATCAACAAATCTGTTCAGGAAAGAGTAAGTAAATATAATTCTTAAAGAATATGTTAGGTTTAATTTTTATCTTTTTAAAAATTTCTGATAAATTTGCAAAATAATTCCTTCTTTACTATGGCATGTAAGGTTATATACATTGTAAGAGATTAAATACAAGGAGTTAAGCTTGTATTTAACAATTCAAGGCAATGTACCAAATGAATGGCAAAAACTGGAGAGCTTAATGCGTTTAGGAAGAAAAGAAATCACTCTGAAACAAAGTGGCCAAGGAAGGAAGTGCTAGGATTTGCCAGCTGGGCACTGAAAGAGAAAGCATCAGAAAGAATTAAGAGAGAATGGGTGAACTAAGGCAAGAAACCAGAAGGGATTTTCACAGGAGAGTGTATTTACTAAATTGTTTTCTAAATTGATGAATGTAGTCGGGTAGTGAGAGTCGGGAAAAACCAAGTAGAGCTAATGAGGTCAAGAACATGAAAATAGTAGGGCCCGTATCACGGGCCTGGGGCAGAAAGCAGTAAGAAAGGCAGACTGGGAAGGGAAGGCCTTGACAGTCAAGTCAGAGAGCTGGACACGACCTGCAGTTGGCCATTCTTATCTTTTATGGCTCATGGGACTGCTGGTGACCTTGGTAAAAGCTGTGTGCTTACAACATTTTATATCAAATTTCAAAGGGCATGTACTCTACAATCAGGGACCCTTAGGTTAAAAAAAAAAAGAAACAAAAAAACCCTGCTGCAGGCCACAGACAAGGACTGACAGTTTCTGAGGCAAGCCGATCTATTTCAGGAAGTGCTACACCAGAAAAGAAACAGAGCGGTGTTCTGCAGAAAATGATGGTGGAGCCAGGGAGACCAGATGAGGCGCCCCTGCCATAATTCAGAGCTGTAGTAAGCTGAGGCAGAAGTCCGGGTGCCTGAAGGAGGAATTGCAAAGGAAGGGCAGACACAAGAGACAAAACAAGAGCAAATGGATTTGAGGAAGAGGAGAAAAAAGATGCAACAAGTTCCGACCCTGACAGGGAAAATTATGATATTGGGAACTGAAATGGAGAAACGGCTGAGTCTGAAGTGGCAGCAGAATACCCAGCCACAGCGGTCAGAGTAAACGATATACTTTTTAACTACACAACACTTTGCACTGTTGAACTTTTCCCAAGCATGCATTAATTCAACCTCCCAACAGATCACAAACCCCTTTGAAGCCCAGTCTTCTGTGAAATCCCTACTTAGTACCATACACCTCATAAGCACCCAAGTATTTTTGCAACGCCTAGAAAAACAGCTTGCACAGGGCAGAGGCCTAATTATCAATATCCTCTATTTCTTTCCTGGCCCAGACTTTATAATAAAATAGCATTTCTATGGCTTCAGACTGTGGTCAACCATATCAGCTCATCTACCAGGTAACAATGCTGTGCTAAATAAACCAAGTAACTTCTAGGACACTGGGTCTGAAGCCAAAGCCCCTCCTCCAAGGAGATTCCATAGTAGCACTACACTCCACAAAGCTGTGGGAAAGTGAACATTAACAAAAACAGCAACCTTGACGTCAGAGTCCCATATACATCTAATGAAGGAAAGAGTAAGTGAATATAATATATAAGTAAGATTCCCTTAGGAATCTAAGGGGAGCAGAGAAGGCTGGCAAAGCCAGGGATGGAGTGAGCACTGGACACGTTTATTTCCGGCCAATAAACAACGTGCTATAACTCAGCCTCTCATTAGGCTGTGGTTTGGTTCTTCAATTCAGGAAAGATAATCATGACAATTACAGTGATTAAAGCAGCAAAAGATCAGCTATGTATTTAACAGTGTGTTCTTTGGATTGATTCCATTTCATCTATATAAGATTATTCTAAAGCTTTCATAACTGGTCCCCATTTTTCTCTGTTGAATACCATGACTGGCTTGTACCTACTTTCCAAATCTGGCCTCTTAAAATAAATCATGTACAAAATCAAACATTTTTCCTTATCAGGTGAGGTCAGACTCAAACCTACTTTCTAAACTCCTTTATCATCTCATCATTAGGTAAAAGTTAAAAATTCAAAAGGTAAACAGACCTCAATCCTTCGACTTTACCATCCAAAAAGTCAAGTTCTTCTGTCTTAAGAGCCTGTCTGTTCTAATTAGGCAGAGATTAGCTCTCTTGATATGTTAACTCCAAAGTCTTAGAGTTCGATACTGTTATAATTCTGTTGAATGCAGAATAGGCATGACATGATGTTCATAATTAGGGATCACCTGGCTGTGCCCTCCTACTTCCTGGCATTTTGCTTTTAAAGGAACCACCTTTAGTATAAAGGTTTCAAGCAGCCTGTGTTTGTGCTGTTTTCACCAGAGTGAAAACATGAACAATCTGTCAACTATTCAGGTAGACAGAGACTTGAGAGTGAAAAGAATAAGCACATAAAATGTCTTCAGATCCACCCATCCAGTGTTATCTAGTGTCAAAGGGCCTAATTCTCTGATAATGGAAGGAAATGAAACTCAGAGAAGTGAAAAGCAATGCTGGAACTAGATCCAACTGCGGCCTGAAGTTCTCAGCTTTAAACCTCAATCAACAGCCTTAGCTAACATTCACTATAGTTGAAATAAAGAGCAGAAAACAGAACTTGATGAAAAAGGCAGGTTAAAAAAAATTGGTATTATTGCCAGGCACATTGGCTCATGCCTATAATCCTAGCACTTTGGGAAGCCAAGGCAGGAGGATCACTTGACACCAGGAGTTCGAGACCAGCCTGGGTAACATAGTGAGATTCCATCTCCTGCGTGTGCGCGCATGCGCGCGCGCACACACACACACACACACACACACACACGTAAACATATATAAAAATACATATATTTAAGGGGAAACTGGCAAAATTCAGGTTGTGGAGAAACAAACTCATATACTGTTGATCGGAATGCAAAAACGGTATAATCTCTACGGAAGACAATGCAGCAGTAT